CCCTGATGTCCTATGATTCTAAGTGGAAGCCACTGTTCCGGCATGTGGATATGTGTGTGTACACGAGCTGGATGGGTGTGAAAAACTGTAAAATAAGAGGTGGACAGAAAAGTTGAGAGACCAACCTGCCAACCACAGTGTATTTTAGGAGGAGATGAGGCCAAGACTACCTGAGTACTATGGGATCCTATGTACTATGTAGTCCTAGTACTATTTAGTACTAAACAGAGAGTGAACATAATGTTATGCAGTAAGTAGCTAGATTCTTATACAGGCATCCTATGGACTGATGATAAAAGTAGCAAGAAAAATATTCTATTAATATGTATGGACACAGGGGAAGGGGAGGATGGAGGTGGACAGAGAGATGAATACACAGAAAGGACATGAAGCCAGACAGAATCCAAAGAAACAGTGATTTGACAAGAGCAAAGGAATCATTGAAGTGTGAGAATCTAGACATGAGAGCAAATTAAATGTAAGCTGTTTAGAAGCAGAGACTGGTTGGTTACTCCTTGTCTTTTAAATCATGGCTCCCAACAGTGTGGGCACTTGAATAGAGAGTCACAATTGGGAAAAGAATTATAGGAAAAGAATTACAGTCACACAGGGAAAAGAATTACAGGAGAAAAATGTAAATACACTGAAGAAGATCTAACAGAATAAGAATAATAAAGAACAACATCTACCTTATCTTCTGAACATTTTTGTGAACTTTAAATTAAAAAAAAAAAAAAGACAAAGAAAGCTCTTACTACACATTATAGAACTTAACCTAATAATTTCACCTAACTTGCAACTCTCTTATTTTTTTACTGATGATGTCTTAACATTTAAATGTTAACTTATTTTAGAAACCTGCTCTCTCAAAATGCACTCCTTAAGTTTGGTGCATAAGAAACTGAACCAGAAAGAAATTTCACTTTAACCTGTTCATAAAAAAAAAAAACTTCCATACAATCACAATAAAAAGACAACAAAAAACAGGCAAATGAAGATATCTGAGTGGCCAAATTAGCACATGAAATGATGCTCAGTGTTAGATCCTAGGAAAATGTAAATTTATTTAAAAAAAAATAAAACACATAATGAGATATAGTTCCATACCCATTAAACTGGCTAGAATAAAAAAGATTGACCATATCAAATATGGTGAAAGTACAGAACTTCAATTCTCATACATTGCTGTTGGGAAAATAAAATAGAGCAAGGAAAATTGTTTGACACTTTCTTATAGACCTATCCGAAGACCTGGTAATTCCATTTATAGATTTTTATTCAAGATAAATTAAGAGATGTCCATAAAAAGACTTGGATAAAAATGTTCATACAGCTTTACTCATAATACTCCAAAATTGGAAAGAACCCAAACGTCCATCAAAAGAAGAATGGATTTAAAAAAAATGGAATATTTATAAAAGGAAATATTCCTCAGCAATAAAACTAGTTACATGCAACATGTACTAATATAAAAAAACATTATGCTAAGCAAAAGAAGCCAGGCATAAGATATACATTATAATGATCCTATTTCTATGACATTTTAGAATAGGCAAAACTAACCTACCGTGACAGAAAGCAAGTCAGTAGTTATATAAGACCTGGAGGTGACGGTGGAAGAACTTTCTGGGGTGATAGAAACGTTCTGTATCTTATTCCGAATACTGGTTACTTGGATACATCAAAACTCATCAAACCTAAGTACTTCTTAAGATCTGTGCATCTTGATGTATGTAAATTATACTTCAATTTTTAAGTTATAAAAGTTATTTTAAAAAATAAAAGTAAAAATACCCTGAAATCAACTACCCAACATTTTCTACCTATACCTGACTACTACATATTTTAAATATATAACAGAGCCCCCCCAAGTACCTACTCTGTCCCATTTAATGTTTACTAAGTGTGAATAATTATTTTTAAATTAAAAAATACATCTATGAAAAGTGAATGATAGTCACTTATCTATCCTACTTGAAAAAAAAATTAATGAAACTATACCTAGAATACATAATTCCTATTAGCAAAAGTTCAAACTAATTACAACCACATACATCTTTTTATTCTAAGGACTTTGATAAAATAATATTGTTGGCAGCTTATATTTTTCCACTAAGCACAAAGAATCAATATCATCAATGTAAATGAAAATTTTGCTGAATATTTCTAAATGTTTTGTGAATCCTATAAGGAGAGACATGGAATTTTCCAGAAGAGTCTAATTTAAATTCATTAGGTCAAAACACAATTTCATATTTAATTCAAAATAATAGAAAAGCATAAGTAATATTTACAAAGAAATAAGATTTATGGAAAATATAAAATAAAATGCAAGAAGAGCAAATAATTTCTATCGTACCCATTGAAAATATGCTGAATGAGTGGGTAAGTAGTCTTCATGTAAATATCTTGATTGGTGCACGCCTCATCAAAGATTTCATCAAAATAAAAAACATGCTGAAAAAGAAATTTGATTTTTACAGAAAGAGATACGTTCTGGATTTTCTTCAACACTATTCTAGTTGACACATGATAAAGGTGCAAATACCTTTTTAACTAATAGTTAACTGTCCATGAGAAATTTAGAGATAAAAGCAATCATCAACTGTCAAATGACAGGGCCAAGTTTTACTTGAGATCTCTGCAGACATGTTCTTATACTGTAAAAACCAAGCCACATGATTTCTGTTCTCTCTTAAGGGAAGTAGATTAATGAGTGCTAACAGTGAGCCAATCCTCCTAAAGTCTAGGAGAGGAACTGAATTCTATGGAGGTTATTCTCACAGCCCAGCCTGAGCACGTGGGAAACATGAGCAAAGAGGCAAAGCAGGAAAGCACAAAGAATGTTCAGAAGACAGGGAGGATTTACTGTGTTTGAAACACAGGATATTGGCAGGTAGAAAAGTAAAATAGCAGGTAAGAATAAGGAGTTAGGACTATACTGTAGGGGCTTTGGGACACCAGCATTAAGGGAAAGGAGGGAACGCTTATATATTTAATTTAGCAAAAGTGGAAAGGCAAAAAACTTTGCCAAAGAGAGGGATGAGCCGAGCCATTTTATTGGAAGACTAATCTGCCTTATATTGTGCATGTATTGGAAACATGAACACTAGCGCTTAGGTTAAAGAAAGAAAGAAAAGGGAATTTGCTCAGTCATGTTCCACTCTTTGCGACCCCATGGGCTGAAGACTACCAGGCTCCTCCATCCATGGAATTCTAGGTTAGGTTAAGAAGGGTCTAAATTAGACAATGACAATGGAAATAAAAAGACATGAGCGCATGAGAAATTTGGCAGCTGACTGGATGTGATAGCTGAGGAGAGAAAGGAATCCAAGATTATTCCCAAATGAAAAGCCACAGTAATCTGAAAGAGGAGAGTAGGAGACCCCATTAAGTTGGGTCTGGAAAGCATTAGTTCAGCAACCATAATTATTTCCATAATTTAGAGGCTTACCATGTTGGCAGCCCAACTATATCTGGGTAAAAAATCCTAATAATTTCAAGTCTGACTGTAGTATCATAATGGCAGCCCACACATAATGAATGAGAGATGAAGTCACATTTTATGCTACCTTTTGGGCCTACTCTAAATATTTAGTTAAGAAAAAATTTTATGGGGAAATTTTTTTTTTTGCAATAAACAAAACTTTTCTTCAAACAACTGCAGTACAGGGCACAATAAAAAAAAATGGAAAGGAAACAGGAAAAATATTTTTAGCATTTTACATCTTCATACAAGTGTTATGGTTTTGTGTCTACATTCATCCATTGAGCATCAAATCCCCTAGATTTGACATCTTTCAGCAAAATGAGAACACTAACATAGAAGGTTTTTTTTAACAAAGGTCCATGTTCTAGCTTTGGTTTTTCCCTAATTTTAAAACAAGGTCTGTCTGCGTCTTGAGCTGCTTCTCTGGTGGAAATGGGCTTAAGCCAGTTTACTATGGGTCACTGTACCCCAAGTATGATTCTGATTCATATACATTACTTTAGAATGGAAATCTATTAGGTCATTTGAGAAGAAATTGGAGCCACAAAGCCAGATTTATCAATAGAAAAAATTCTCCAGGGAATCCCTTGGCCGCCCAGTGGTTAGGGCTCCAGCTTCTACTGCACGGGTAGGGAACTAAGGTACCGCAAGCTGCACACTGTGGCCAAAAAAAGGAGAGAAACAAGTCTCCAGAAGTCAGGAGGTGAGAAAAACATGAACCTGTGCAGCATGACAAAGAGATCTGTGAACATTAAGTGTTCTGAAAAATGTGACTGATTTTAAGAACACTAAAATGTAACTTTGAAGCTGGGTCATAGGTAGACGGTCATATAGGTCATATAGATACATTATACTTTTGATTAGGCTTGAAAATGGCAATAATAAAGAGCAAAATACATTTCTAAAATCTGATTTTAATGGACATGATTTATATCTAACTCATAAACAAGTCTTTAAGCAAGGAGACAAATCCATTCTTTGCTCAAAAATCACTGTAGGTTTTTATAGTTAAGTATGATATCAAAAGCATTTTTGGCATTTCTCAGGAAAATTTTTAAAAATGAAGAGAAATAAATGTGGGAATAAACTGGTTTTCGTTTTCTGTTATTTCACTGAGCATATGGCTATTCTCCTCTTTCTATAAGTGCTCTTGGGTAAACACTTTTGAAAGCATTCATTCATTATAGGAATTAGTATCTTTCCATCTAACAGAACTGAAGATTGATTTTTCATGGCAAATTGATGGGGAAAAAATGGAAACAGTTGCAGATTTTATTTTCCTGGGTTCCAAAATCACAGTGGACAGTGACTGCAGCCATGAAAGTAAAAGACACTTCCTCCTTAGAAGTACAGTTATGACAAAACTAGATAGCGTATTAAAAAGCAGAGACAACACTTTGCTGACAAAGGTCCATAATAGTCAAAGCTATGGTTTTTCCAGTGGTCATATACCAATGGGAGAATTGGACCATAAAGGCTGAGCGCCGAAGAATTGATGCTTTTGAATTGTGGTGCTAGAGAACAATGTTGAGAGTCCCTTGGACTGCAAGGAGATTAAAGCAGTCAACCCTAAAGGAAATCAACCTTGAACACTCGTTGAAAGGACTGATACTGAAGCTGAAGCTCCAATACTTTGGCCACCTGATGAGAAGAGCCGACTCATTGCCAAAGACCCTGATCCTGGGAAAAATTGAGGGCAGAAGGAGAAGAGAACAACAGAGGATGAGATGGTTGGATGGCATCATTGACTCCAGTTGGTGATGCCATCAAACTCAATGAGCTTGAGCAAACTCCGGGAGATAGTGAAAAACAGGGAAGACTGGCGTGCTGCAGTCCATGAGGTTGCAAAGAATCAGACACAACTTAGCAACTGAACAACAATTTTTCCTTCCAATAGAACTAAAGTATTGATTTTTCCAATACTTCTGTAAGAATCTCTCATGAAAGATATGTGAACATGCAAGATTACTATTGTAATTCACAGTCCTCCGCATCATATACACTTTCATTTGACCATATTTTATCAATGAAGTTTGATTAACATTCACTTCATGGAGTTCCCTGGTGGCTTAATGGTTAGAATTTGGGCTTTCACTGCTGTGACCTGGATTCAGTCCCAGGTCAGGAACTGAGAGCCTGCAAGCTGCTCTGGGTGCAGCCAAAAAAATTAAAAATCACTTTAGCCTTGATATGATATGAGTTGCATAGCTTATTTTTTAAAGAAGTTTTTTTTTTCAGATTATAAATGTATTTCTAAAATATCTCTGGAAAGATACACTTAGAATACCAGTTGTCTTCAAGGACAAAATGAGATTAGAGACACTCTTCATAGCATGATCTATATCCTATTCAAAAGTTCTGATTTTATTGATATAAGAGTAATAATGCTGATTGCAGAAAAAAAAGTTAAACATGGATTACAATAGATAAGAAAATCAAATTATCTGTAAATCTTATTACCCTGAGATGGCCACTGCTGGCTTTGATATATTTCAGTACCATCTTTTTTTAATCTCTATATATTTTCCTTTACTTAAGAAATTGGGGATGAAAGAAACAGGTCTGTTTCCTTGTTTTTTCCACTCATTATGTTGCTATCATAAAATTTAATGGTTAAGTATGACAACACAATGTATGTATATGATCACATATACTAAGTAACAAAAGATCTGAAAGGATAAGATATTTAATTAAAGGACACATAAACCTATTGTTTGAATACCTAAATAAGATTAAAAATAAAACCCAAAGAATCTAGGATCAATATGTACTTGCTATGTTTGCTATGAACCTCCCTTTTCTTTTTTCTACTTAAGGAAGAAAGGCGGGGGTGGGGGGGCGGGGCGGGGAAGGCCTCTCAACACATATTATAAGCATTGACAAGTGAAGAGTTTGACCTATGACAGCAAAGGTCCAAAGTTCAAACAGCCGAGAAAGAGCTATGGAAACTATGGATATTCAATAAGTATTGACCAATGGTAATGACAAAGAAGTAAGGTTATTGTGTTTTGGGATAATGGAAAAATACAAAAGATAAAATGATGCCTCCTTGAGGGAATTACTGTGACAGAAGCATCATTAAGGCAGTCTTGGGTAGATGGTGACTGGACAGGGCTATTACTATGGCTATAAGTAGCCATGGAACTAGATAGCATTACAACTAATTGGTCATTTGGACCATCTTCAATATAAATACCTCCCACCTAGACCTAATAGATTGTGCACTGACCAGCAATCGATAAGGCTGTTAAAGTGATTGAGTTGGTTAGACAGTGGCCTAGTAATTTACTGCCCATAGAAAGACCCTGTGGATTGCTTTGACTGTTACTGAGAAACCCAATTTTGGTAAGCAAAGAAAACAAAGAACAATGCAAGTGTTAAAGAGGGGACAGTATTAACAACTTGACTTCAGTGTTAAAGGATTTATTTTAGTAGAATAAAATCTCAGCTGACCAAGGTGAATTGTCTGCACACCAGATTACTCACCACCTTTTTTTTTTTCTTCCTACTAATCACTGGGTTTTGTACTTTTTTTTTCTTACACCACTTGGCTTGCAGGATCTCAGTTTGCTGACTAGGGAATGAGTCCAAGCCACAGCAGTGAAAATGCCAAATCCTAACCATGAGACCACCAGGGAACTCTAAGTCACTGAGTTTTGAAGCGAGAGACAGAGAGAACAGAATGAACATAATATGAACATTTAGGGAGGCAGATTCAGAGTAAGAGAAACTCTGAATTCCCAGATCTTAATAGATTATTCACAATTGCTTCATAATTTTAAGAGTGCCTAAATTATAGTATCTTCCATTAATGGGGTTTGCTGCTTTCATAAGAGACTGAAGGAATTATTGAAAGGGTACCTAAGAGCTGGGAATAAATTCATTTTGATATTAAATCATAATCATCCTGGCAGGCAGTGAACATTTCTTAATGTGTTTGAGCTACCAGTGTTTTACTTAAACCCATACATGTTCAATGTGAAATCACATTCCTGGATCTTTACTCACTGCAATCCACCTTATACAAAGTGGCCTGTTCAGGAACCCAATTTCTACCAACTTAACTCTATGCCTAAACATAATTAAGAATCAAAATAAGCAGCTGGCTGGCAACCTGGGGCCATGCTGCTCTCCATCTTTAAACTCCAGACTTGCACTCAGCAGAGTAAGTTCACACTGAGAGACAAGAGAGAACTGAGACTATGTGACCATCTCACAGTTGGTCTGGGGCAACTCAGCGACTGTCCTTCCTACCAGCAGTTCATTATTTAAACTCTGTTTATTCTCCCATTTGCTCTTTTATGACTAAATATGTATAATTAAATTCACATAAAGCATGGTAAGTGAATGTACAATGCAACTCTATTGCATGAGAGAGGAGGAATTATGCTTGCGTTATCTCCTACTGCACTATATTTTTTAAAAATGAAGGCTAAGTGTTATCAGTGATTAATGCAGTGTCACAAAGAATGAATGCCAACACTCAAACCTAAAAACTGAATTTCAGAATCTGTACTGCTATTCAAACAAAAAACTTGACACTTGATAATGTTAGTTTCATAGAAGGAAAGTATCATACCTGTAGAATATATTGTGTGAGGTCAACTGCTTCTTTCTTCTCATGAACAAGTAGAGTTTCTTTATCTTTAACAGTAATAATGTTGATTTCTCCACGACGTACCTCCCTCATGCCCAGAGGGCGTTTTCGAACACAAACTCTGATTTTCTCCATCTCAGTCCAAGGATTCTCTTTCTCTGAAGTGTTCTGTCTGATATATGTTTACAAGTGGGCTTTAATTTTTAGTTAATGGGATAAAGCTACCTAAGAGGTCAAAGTATCAGTATATTTTGTTATATATTAGGTGTAACACAAACACACACACACACATACACACAGTATCTGTTATATACTAAAGTGCTGACACTGAGAAAGCTCTTTCATTAGCTCGAAATCCTCCTGATTTACTTCTATCTCCATCTCTACTCAATCCCACTCAAATGCAAATTTCTTGCTTCCTTTCAATCCTTATTATTATACATTTGCTGTTTTCTTGACCATTCAATCTAAATTTGAATTTTTTAGCCTACCTGGGTTTATTAAATAACTTGAATTTGGTGGTAGGTTTCAATGTATTTTCCCCATGTTTCTCCTAGGTATATTCTGACCCTCCCTTTGTCTTTCTTGCTTCCTTTTTTTGGCCTACCCTGATATGTATTTATTTGTCAGAACACGATCCTACTCCCAGGACGATTTTATGACTGGTGCTGTCCACCACTAATTTTTCCTTCTATTCAGACACATTTCTTCTCTGGCTGTGTTCAGTGAACTCATCCACCTTAACATCCAGAAGAGAGGCAATATTCCTTGGGTTAAGAGTACAAAATTCATCAGGTTTACTAGCTGAGTCTAATGGTGGCATATATGATACATCTAAGCACTGACCACTTTACCTATGCATAAATGCCTCTTAAGCAAGGTAACAAGAAAAGAGAATCCTTGAAAGTAGACGTTTTACCAAGACCAATGCCTTTGGCACATATACTTAGAATGTCTTAGAGACACAAATCATTCCCTTCCTTTACACTTTAGAATTTGATTAATAGCCCCTAAACAGCCTTTTATAATAGATTTTACACAGGATATTTCACTATATAATTGTTTCATATCAATTTCAATTTTCTGAGACCTCCAACTGGCTGGAAAATTATTTTTCACCAGGATCTAAATTAGTAAAACGTAGGAAATAAAATTTCTAATATAATGCATAAAAAACTACTCAAGGCTTTTGAAGCATGTTATTATTTTTTTAAACCAATGTATAGTAGACATCTAAAAAAAGAACCATTTTGACATGAAGTATGGCAAAATCCTGACAATCATTAAAAGTGAATGGCAGGCATGTGGGGCTTCATTGTTGCATTTTCTCTTCTTTTGCATGTGTTTTATTTTTTATAAGAAAAAAACAAACTTTCTTTGGGCTTTTTTGGACCATGCTGTGGGGTTTGCAGGATCTCAGTTCCCCAACCAGGACTGAACCCAGGCCCAGCAGTGAAAGTGCTGAGTCTTAAACATTGGGCTACTGGGAATTTCTCAGAATAAAACACATTTTTAATGCATCCTAAAAGGTTCTAGCTTGTTTCTTTTTTTAAGGCTCTAGTTTTAATGTGCAATATTCCCTAGAAGAAATAAACTATATCTGTCTGACATGCAAAGTTAAGATAGCTAGAGTTAGGTCTGTTCACGATCTTAAATAAGTCAGGGCAACCAGTCCTCTAAATGCCTTAGACTTTTATTAAAATTCAGAATCCAATAAGTTATTTTGAACTTACCTAATTTGAGGTATCCAAAGAGAATGCTCTTCGGGTAGGGATGACTCACCAACAGGAAGCTTCAAGTTGGTGAGAGAATTTCTCAGGGTTCTGAAACTCTGGCTCCTACTTAGGATTTAGGGGAGAAGACAATATTGGGAATTACTGAGACAATGAACTTTCCTAACCTCCACTTCTCTAATATAATAAGGAATGGAAAGAGTAAGATGATATAAAAGGTGAGAAAGCTCAATTGAACACCTTTCATCCTGGGTCTGCATGTATAAACCTCTGTGAGAGCACTTAGCTCACTCTATGGTTGTCTGACTTCCCATTCACCCTGCCCACTAAGAGTCTCAGAGTCTCCAGATATTCTAATGATCTTTATATCTAGAATCAGGACAGGCAGAGGGGGTATTCTATATATGCAAAATAAATAAAGCAGCAATATTTAAACTAAAATATCCATTCTATCTAAATAAATAATGGAAAGTCATATCTTCATTCTATTTATAAATAATTCCAATTTAGATTTTTATATGTTGTTCAATAAAAGATTAACCTTCAAAAAAGTATTTGTTCTTTCACCGCTGAGCTAACTAAAAGAACAGCAACAATCATGGCATTGATGGTCATAGAACAATCTAGTCCTTTCACAACTAAAAGAAGAAAAAGATACTACATGCTCTGTGCTTTGCTAAACCAAGCCAAAAAAAAATTTTTTTTCAGAAACATTATAGAATTCATTTATGTATTTCAAATTACTAAAGGTATTTTTACCTTTAAAATTGGGTCCTCTATTCTTTTAGAATAAAAGAACTGGTTGATTATGAAATCCTCTGAAACCTTAGCTAATATAAAACCATATGGAAATACTTTGTTTTAAGGTATGAATAATAGCCCTTATCTTTTTAAGTGGCTTAAGAATGTATTTTGTTTCTCCACAACTCACCAACCGTAACTTAAAATAACAAAACAGGCAATACACATTATTTTTAAAAGAATGTATTTTCTATTATACCAAGGTTAGTATTAGGGATTACTTGATATTTCAACTCTTAGGGACCTTTCTCAAATTCTAACTCAAAGCACTAAGTGAAAATAACTTATTGTCATTCTGGCTCCCAAACTCTAAATGCTATCAAAAGTATCTTACTCTTTGCAATGACCAAACTCATCTGTTCTTCCAGGGCTGGAATTGTAAAAAGCACTCAAAATCAGGATCATATTTCAAATTTTGCAGGTAAATCAACTGCTCCAAAGACCTATTGAATTCAACTAGCTAAACAGTGTTTTTTTTTTTTTAAAACTAAGTTTCATGATCCCTGGTTGAAGTTAATTTGATAATCTTAAAAAAAAAAAATCCTGTGGATTTTGTAAATTTTTTTTTCTACTGCAGAGGCAAGTTAACTGTTTTATCTTCATGGATGCACTAGATATATCATGTCATGCTAATAAAAACAGGTCTGCAGCAGACCCTGGTAAGTAGCAGCTGCTTGATGCACATGAACAATATCATCTTTCTCCCATCTGGAAAGTCCAAATTCCTCATCAATTTCCCCCAGTCAAGGTATCTGCATTATCACCACAGAAGCTGTTCACTATTATTTTCTGTAAATATGGAGTAGTTGGTCTCCTCTGGTCATGGGGAACCCTGCCCTTGCCTAAGGCTCCCTTCCCTCCAGAAAAAAAAAAAAGAAAAAGATAAAAATTTATTACCTGATATAGGAATGAGGAATTCCATAGTTATACCCTGAAACATGAGAGACTCTTTGAATAACTGAACTATCACAATCCCCCTGTACTGGAGAAAAGTGATTTGATGAAAAGCGTGAAGTCTTAGCTTCTTTTTGTATGTAGGAATCAGCGGCTGTGGCATTCAGAATTCCTGTTTGTATATGGTACTGGGAATCATCTGGTAGCATGTGCTCCAGTACTTCTATGTAGTTAGACTTCTGTTCACCTGCAGAAAAATCTGATAAATCACACAGTTCAAACTGATTGTTGCTGGTAGTTCTGTCTTTGTTGTCAGCAGGAGAATCAAAATGCAGTTGCCTGCGAGGGCCAGATCTGGATTTCTGAGGCTTGACACACAGACTGCTTGTCTGAAGATGATAGTCTGGGCTACTGACTGCTTTATCTTCTTCCTGCATAATCTTAATGATTTTGATAAGTTGGAAGAGACGTTTGCGGTCATTCATGTCATGGACTCCCAATTTGGAGTAGTCCTTCATTGTAACGTTGGCTAATTCATCTATTTTCTGAAGGCCAAGGGCAGTAAAATGAGGATAATACTGTGCTAGTTCAGCTTCACAAAGACATTCATACAACCAGGATGTCATTTTTGTGAACGGGTTTCTATAAACTCTGAAGAGAAAAAAAAATTCATTCACTTGAAATACAGTATATATAATACAATTATTCCTTAAAAAAAAAAAAATCACAAAAGAAATATGCAGCAAAATCCATTCCAGCATTCCAGGTTTTCAATAAATACATTTTTCTTTTAAAATGATTAAATAGCATAATGTGTAAACATGTTTATAATGCATTTGTAGTAATTTGTCCTTTGCTTAATAAAAAGAGATTTTCAATTATGTATATACATAGGTACATGCACACACGCATAACACAAATCACTTACTTATTTCTAGGGAGTTCCTTCCAACCTTGCAATGTCTACTTAACATATACCACAAACTACTGAAACCTTCTCCCCAACTGCTGATTGTTACAGGACTAATTTTAGATGTTCAAGTTAATGTCAAGGCATGTGGCACAACTGTTTCCCATGATTAACGAACAAAGGCTAAGAACTGTTTCAAAATGGAAAGCAGAATTAAATAGTGACTCACAGAGGATCATGAATATAATTCAGAGAAAAATCACATTTGTATATACTGAGTACTGGTAGAAGTTAGTTGAACAAAGAAGTAAAAACATCATTTAGAATCTACTAATTCAGGATTTCAGATCATTCTAAAAGGCAGGTGTTTGTAGATGTCTACCTATATACAGAACACGAATAAAATGATTTACCTAGGAAATTAATACCATGGTCAAAAATTTTAATGGCTATACATTAAAATGTTTAAAAAATTTAACACAAGCTATTTAGTTAAATACTAACAAATGATGTAGTAATAACACATAATCCTAGTCTATTATTAAAGTCAGGACCCTGAGGAGTTCTTCCTATCACTGTTAATCAAGTTCAAGTTCATAAGAATATTGAAAAGTAAGTAAACTACATTTTCTCTAAAAAATTTTTTTTTAATAATTCAGAGTTTTCAAAATTCTTTTATGTTTTTCATTTTAATTTATATTTTATCTTCCTTCTAGGAGAAACAGAAAAAGAGGTCAGGGCCAGGTAAAAGTAGTAATTAAAGGACCCTGAGTAATAAACTTTGGAGGAAATACTTCTTAGGGTACAGAAATGGTCAAAGGGGCTAAAAAGCACATTCTAAACTCATCCCGCCCTTTTCCATTTGTGGTAGATGGAAAAAGAAAAATTCTTTGCAGGCCCTTCCACCAAGAGATGAAATTTACTTCTGTTGCATTTAGGATGGCCTTGTGACATGTTTTGGCCAACAGAAAGTGGTGGAAATGACACTATGTGACTCATATGCCTAGTCAAGAGCCCTTGACTGTTGCCAGTCACTAAGTCATGTCCGACTCTGCAACCCCGTGGACTGAGCACTCCAGGCTTCCCAGTTCTACACTATCTCCTGGAGTTCGCTCAAACTCATGTCCATCGAGTCAGTGACCATCCAACCATCTCATCCTCTGCCACCTTCTCCTGCCTTCAATCTTTCCCAACATCAGGACATTTTCCAATGAGTCTGCTCTTTCCATCATGTGGCTTAAGTATTGGAGCTTCAGCTTCAGCATTAGTTCTTCCAATGAATATTCAGAACTGATTTCCTTTAGGACTGACTGATTTGAACTCCTTGCAGCCCAAGGGACTCTCAAGAGTCCTCTCCAACACCATAGTTTAAAAGCATCAATTCTTTGAGATAGTGATGGACAGGGAATCCTGGCGTGCTGCAGTCCATGGGGTCGCAGAGAGTTGGACATGACTGAGCGACTGAACTGAACTGACAGCCTTCTTTATGGTCCAACTCGCACATCCGTCCATGATTACTGGATAAACCATAGCTTTGACAATACGGACCTTTGTCAGCAAAAGTGATGTCTCTGCTTTTTAATCCACTGTCTAGGTTTTTTCATAGCTTTTCTTCCAAGGAGCAAGCGTTTTTTAATTTCATGGCTGTAGTCACCATCCACAGTAATTAAGAAAATAACGTTTGTCACTGTTTGCATTGTTTCCTTATCTATTTGCCATGAAGTCATGGGACCAGACGCCATTATCTTAGTTTTTTGAATGTTGAGTTTCAAAGCCAGCTTTTTCACTCTCCTCTTTCACCTTCATCAAGAGGTTCATTAGTTCCTCTTTGATTCCTACCATAAGGGTGGTGCCATCTGCACATCTGAGGTTGTTGATATATCTCCCAGCAATCTTGATTCCAGCTCCTGTGTCATCCAGCCCAACATTTCACATCAAGTACTCTGCATAGAAGTTAAATAAGCTGGGTGACAATATACAGTCTTAACATACTTCTTTCCCAATTTTGAACCAATCTGTTGTTCCATGTCTGGTACCAACTGTTGCTTCTTGGCCTTTATACAGGTTTATCAGGACACAGGTAAAGTTATCTGGTACTCCCATCTCTTTAAGAATTTTCCATAGTTTGTTATAATCCACACAAAGTCTTTAGTGTAGTCAGTGAAGAAGATGTTTTTCTGGAATTCCCTTGCTTTCTCCATTGGCAATTTAATCTCTGGTTCCTCTGCCTTTTTTAAAACCAGCTTGTACATCTCTAAGTTTTCAGTTCACACATTGCTGAAACCTAGCTTGAAGCATTTTGAGCATAACCTTGCTAGCATGTGAAATGAGCACAGTTGTACGGTAGCTTGAATATTCTTTGGCATTGCCTTTCTTTAAGAATGGAATGAAAACTGACCTTTTCCAGTCCTGTGGCCACTGCTGAGTTTTCCAAATTTGCTAACATACTGAGTGCAGCACTTAAACAGCATCATCGTTTAGGACTTGAAATAGCTCAGCTGGAATTTCATCAGCTCCTCTAGTTTTGTTCGTAGTGATGCTTCCGAAGGCCCCCTTGACTTCACATTCCAGGATGTCTGGCTCTAGGTGAGTGATCACACCATCGTGGTTATCCAAGTCATTAAGACCATTTTTGTATAGTTCTTCTGTGTATTCTTGCCACCTCTTCTGCTTTTGTTAGGTCCTTAATGTTTCTGTCTTTTATCATGCTCATCCTTGCATGAAATGTTCCCTTGATATCTCCAGTTTTCTCAAAGAGATCTCTAGTCTTTCCCATTCTATTGTTTTCCTCTATTTCTCTGCATTGTTCATTGAAGAAGGCCTTTCATCTCTCCTTGCTATTCTCTGAAACTCTGTATTCAGCTGGGTAAATCTTTCCCTTTCTCCCTTGCCTTTTCTTTCTATTCTTTCCTCAGCTATTTGTAAAGCCTCCCCAGACAACTGCTTTACCTTCTTGCATTTCTTTTTCTTGGGGATGTTTTTGGTCACTGGCTCCTGTACAATGTTATGAATCTGTCTACAGTTCTTCAGGCACTCTGTCTACCAGATCTAATCCCTTGAATCAATCTGTCACCTCTACTGTATAATAATAAAGGATTTGATTTAGGTCATACCTTAATGGCCTAGTGGTTTTCCCTACTTTCTTCAATTTAAGCCTGAATTTTCCAATGAGGAGCTCATGATCTGAGCCACGGTCAGCTCCAGGTCTTGTTCCTGCTAAGTGTATAGCATTTCTCTATCTTTGGCTACAAAGAACATGATCAATCTGATTTTGGTACTGACCATCTGGTGATGTCCATGTATAGAGCCATCTCTTGTGTTGTTGGAAAAGGGTGTTTGGTATGATGAGTATTTTCATTTAACAAGACTCTGTTAGCCTTTGCCCTGCTTCATTTTGTACTTCAAGGCCAAACTTGCTTGTTATTCTGGGTTATCTCTTGACTTCCTACTTTTGCATTCCAATCCCCTATGATTACACAGACATCTTTTTTTTAGTGTCAGTTCTAGAGGTTTTATAGGTCTTCATGGAACCATTCAACATCAGCTTCTTCAGCATCAGTAGTTGGGGCACAGACTTGAATTACTGTAATACTGAATGGTTTACCTTGGAAACGAAATGAGACCATTCTGTTGTTTTTGAGATTGCACCCAAGCACTGGATTTCAGATTCTTTTGTTGACTATGAGGGCTACTCCATTTCTTCTAAGGGATTCTTGCCCACAGTAGTAAATATAATGGTCATCTGAATTAAATTTGCCAATTCTCATCCATTTTAGTTCAGTGATTCCTAAAGATGTTGATGATGTTCAACCTTGCCATCTCCTGCTTGACCATGTCCAATTTACCTTGATTCACGGACCTAATATTGCAGGTTCCTATGCAGTATTGTTCTTTAAAACATTAGACTTTACTTTCACCACCAGACATGTCCACAACTGAGCGTTGTTTCTTCTTGGCCCAGCTGCTTCATTCTATCTGGAGCTATTAGTAATTGCCCTCTGTTCTTCCCCAGTAGCATACTGGACACCTTCCATCCTGAGGGGTCAGGTAATCTTCCAGTGTCATATCTTTTTGCTTTTATATACTGTTCATGTTCTCGCAGCGAGAATACTGGACTGGGTTGCCATTTCCTCCTCCACTGGATGTTCGGTCAGAACTCTTCACTGTGACTCATCCGTCTTGGGTGGCCCTGCACAGCATGGCTCACAGCTTTACTGAGTTATGAAAGCCCCTTCACCACAACAAGGCTGTGATCCACTTTGCTGTACATCAAAAACTAATAAAACATTGTGAATCAACTGTACTCCAATAAAAACTGTAAAAATAGATATGCTTTGTATAACATTTCTTTCCATGTCACAAAAAGTCCAGCTCCTCTCTTCTTCTGGGATAATGATCAGAATCACTCCAGGAACTTTAAGAAATATAGATACCTGAGCCCCATCCCAGATACATAAGAAAACAAAAAAAACAGGGACTTCCCTGGTGGTCCAGTTGTTAAGAATCTGCTTCCCAATGCAGGAGACACGGGTTTGATCTCGGTATAAGAAGATTCCACACACCATGGAGCAACTAAGCCCGTGTACCACGACTACTGAGCCTGTGCTCTAGAGCCCAAGATCCGCAACTACTGAAGCCTGCACACTCTAGAGTCTGCGCTCTGCAACAAGAGAAGCCACCTCAATGAGAAGGCCGTGCACCACAACTTGAGAGTAACTTCCATTCACCACAATGAGAGAAA